CAATACAGTAACTATATAGCATTTACACTGTATCAGGTATTATAAGTAATCTAGGTATTATAAGTAATCTATAAAGTATACGGGAGGATGTGTGCAGGTCATATGCAAACGCTACACCATCTTATATAAGGAACGTGAGCATCTTTGGATTTTGGTATCTGTGCGCATTTCTGGAACCAACCCCCCAAGATACTGACAGACTGTCCTCTCTCTCTCTCTCTCTCTCTCTCTCTCTATCTATCTATCTATCTATCTATATATATATTTATCTATATTCTCTGAAATTCATAACCACCTGCAAAGTTAGGAGTAGTCCACAGGGCCCCCCCTCACTTATGACGCCATTGCAAACCAGGAGGTCCCCAAGACCATCCTCATATGTGACGATTCCCTCACAGAGCTCAGTGAGAGTGGCCATATTCACAGTTATGGTGTGTTACATAGAAGGGACACAGAGTGACATCAGCAAGGGTAATAGGCACAGGGCACGGGGGCCAGGAAGGTTCCATGCGTGGAGCTTCCAGCTGTGCTTTCTCTGTGGAGTCACAGGTGGCGCTAACTGCTCCCGGCAGCAATGTGTGACAGCCGCGGAGTGGTGCCAGCCAGGGGAGCTCCCCCGAGCCGTGTGCCCAGCGTCTTTGCTGGGGGCGTGAGCACACAGGCGTGGTTCAAGTTCTGTTTGGCTGAGCTCAGTGTCCAGCCGCCTGGAGGCAGAGCAGATGCCATGTGACCCAAAGCCTCCGTCATAAGTTACATTGTTAGACTGTCGGGTGTGGCCCAAGGCTTCCCAGAAACAGGACACTCCTATAAGGCAGGACATTTTAGGGGTGTAGGCATCACTTCCCGGTAGTTGAGGGCAAAGGCCAGACCTCCTTGGGTGTGGTTAATTCATTCACCAAACCGTGTTTCCCAGAGTCCCCCAGCCTATCTCTGCTTCTCCCATGACCAGAACCACACAGCTCATCGCTGATGTGCAGGGTGTTCTCCAGGCCGCCGGTGGGAGGAGCTGGGGACGACGGTCTCCATGTGGGTCTGGTGGATGCCCCTGCTTACTCCTGGGGTTGTGGGACACTGTTACATTCACCCCCAGACATCTATGCACCCAGGCTGGTGTACGTGTGAGTCTGCCCCATGTTTGGTATCCAGAGGTTCTGAAAAGAATTTTGGGAATTAGTACCAGGAGTGGGGTTTTCACATCAGCAGTGCTCCAGGTTAACACCCAGGTAACGTGGATTCTGTGACGGCCAAGTGGACAACGATGAGCCCTGTCTCTGATGATCTAACATCTCCCGTCATCGAGGACTTTGTAAACCTTCTCGCCCTGAACCCCTGTACCCCAAAGCAGGCTCCATCCTTAGGTACAGGAGTGTAAGGTTCAGAGAAAGCGAATCCTGCTCGGAGGCTCAGACCATAGAGCCAAAGAGAACAGAGGAAAATGGCCAAGGCAGGTTCAGAATTTTGTCCCCTGAGTGGCATGCCCAGCAGGGCCTCCCAACATGGGGTCAGCCCTTCTTCACCCAGACTTTTCTCCCCTATTCGTACAAACCCAATGTACAGTCCTGCACGAGATCCTCCGGCACTTCCTGAAGTCAGCACCACCGGCCCAGGCTGGGGTGGCAAACTGGCGGGAGAACATCTGGCAGGATGTGGACGTGGCTGGCTCCGTGCATGAGAGACCAGACCTGGGGCTGTGCCGGGACACGTCAGTGTCCAGGAACTTTGCGTCAGAGGGCTTGGGAGTGTGAGGAGCCAGAGCCCTCAACCCGGAACCTGAGTGGGGATGGGGAAGGGGGCCTGGATTCCCGAGTCCTGAGAGGGCACTGTCACAGCAGCCCGAACTCCCATGTCCGAAGGGGGAAAGGGGCCGGGAGTCCTATCCTACCGTAGTTTTTTGCTCCCCCTTTTAATTGAGATATAGCTTACTTACATTTAATTGCATGAATCTTGAAGCATACATATCAGCAGAGCTCTTTCCATGTATACACATGGTAATCAGCACATAGAACATTGTCAGAACCTTAGCAGGCTCCCTCCTGCCCCTCCCCAGCAGTAACCTCCAACCTGGTCTTTATCATCCCAGGTTAGCACTGTCTGTCCTTGAACTTGAGCTAAGTGGAATCATACAGTATGGAGTTACTGGAGTCTGGCTTCTTTCACTCAACATTGTGGATAAAAGATCGATCCATGTTGCATGTCATTCATTTTTATTGCCTGTAGTATTTTATTGTATGAATACACCGCAATTTATTGATCCATCCCTCTCAGCATGGACATTTGGTTGCTTCCAGTTTGGAGCTATTATGAATAAACATACTGTGAACATTCCTGCACATGTTTTTTTGGGGGATACAAGCAGTTACTTCCCTTGAGAATCTGCCCAGCAGTGGGATTGCTGAGTTGATGGTATATGTGCCCTTAGCTTTAGTAGTTACTGCCAAACTGTTTCCCAAAGCGTTTACCAATTTATCCTCCTACCACCAATGTAGGGAAGTTCTGTTTGCCCCGTGAGCT